TTTGAGGACATTTTATGGAGCTGGAACACAGTTTTACTATTTTAAATTATTATAGGGGTTATGGTTACTGTATCTTTATTTTTATGACAAGTTGTTGGTTATGCTCTTGATTTATTTGATCCCAGGCTTTTGTTCAAGAACACAACCTCCAATTAAATGTGGTTACTGTGGCAAAAATACGATTCTCCTTAGAATGACCCTCTGTGGGGCTGTTTCCAAAAACTCATTATGGTGAGAAGTCAAGGCTGCCTGTTCGTGTCCATGAGCATGTCTCCTCGTGGTCACTTGGTTTTCCTGTATGGAGGATTAGAGAGTACGAAGGTGGTGGGCTGGACCCAGAGGAGATGGAGGGAGAATCGGGAAGCTAAGTGGGTCACCATTCAGAAGCATACTACCTCAGTATACTGCCCAAGGCCCCCTGACGGAAGGGGCCTTAGCTATCAGGAGCTGTTTTCTCTTCAATGAAAGAAGGAATTACAATCTGAAGGGGCTGGGAAGCCTTGCCAGTCCCAGGACTCCAGCCCCGGCTCTCAACCTGCCCTCCCTTATCACACTGAACATCCTAGGGGTGTCTTGGGCACATGTACGGCACTAATCCAGTCTATTTTAGACTGTTCAAGTTGCTGTAACAGAAATACCATTGATTGCGGGGCTTAAACAACAGAAATTTATTTCTCACAGTTCTAGTGGCTGGAAGTCCAAGATCAAGGCATGGCTTGATTCAGTATCTGGTGAGGGCTTGCTTCTTGGTTCATAGATAGCTGTCTTGTTGCTGTGTCCTCACGTGGGGGAAGGGGTGAGGGAGCTCTTCAGTGTCCCTTTTATAAAGGCACTAATCCCATTCATGAAGGCTCCAGTTTCATGACCTAATCATCTCCCAAAGGCCCCATCCTAATACCTCCTAATACCATCACATTGGGAGTTAAATTTCAACTTATGAATTTTGGAAGGACACAAATATTTAGTCTATAGCCCTGCCGTATTGTTACTCTGGGGGAACAACCCAAGGCTTGTGTATGACATGGCCATATCTTTTATGAACCCTTTGAGTTGTTCTCAAAGTGGAGAACAGACATTGCTTTAACCTAGAAGAGACTTAGGGTCTCTTAGGGAAAGACACTTATTAATTCTTTAGGTTCTACAGTATTTGTCTCACCAAAAACATGAATTTACAATGAGGAATAGAGAGACAACCACTCAACTTGGAGACCAAAATTGTGGTCCCGAATCTCCACTTGATCTGCCATTTACTGGCTAATCATCGACTTCTTTGGACCTCTTTCCTCAGCTCTCTGGGTTCAGTAATATGATTGGCTTTGCGTGTCGTCACTGACACTGTTGGAGCCCCACCCAGACCCCCTTCACCAGGCCAGTATACCCATTCCCAGACGCTGTGTTGGCTAAGGGTTCACAGATGGGCTTCCCTGAATCCCTGTTTCAGGTTCTGCTTCTGGGTACCCCAATCCAAGACCCTTTCCTCATAGGGTTGCAAGAATCAAATAAGATTCTATATGTGAAGGTCCTCTAAAAACTAAAATATCAGTGGGTTTTTAGTGTGGCCTTGGACCAGACTGTAAAAATCCTAGCTGTGGCTTCTTGGCCGAAGGCCTTTGATGAAGGCAGATAAGGCACCCAGGGAAGGCAGGGCTGTTGTCTTGCATCCCAAGGAGGTGAGCCCAGGCTTCTTTCTCTTCCCCATCCAGGAGTCCGGGATAGTGGGCAGACAGTAAAAATGGGTTTCCATGAAGCTGATTGTCTTTAGGTATTATTAGGTCGTGGTTGAACAAGTTTTTCTCCTATTGGGAAGATAAGAATTGGAGTTGTAAATCATTTCAGATCTGGGAACTGAGCGAGATCACAGAAATCCTTGCCTGTGCTTCGGATGCAAGGTGCTACTAAAGTCCCACAGCAAACAGCAACTTTCTAAGACGCACAGTTTCAGCATATTTAAAAATCTAAAATTTACTTTAATGCAGCATTTTACAGGTAAATTGGCCGGGGGAGGGGGTGGTGTAGAAAGCAAGAGGAAAATTGAAAGGAAAGAGAGAGCTGAGTCCACGAGGTCTAGAACACTTGCAGTGTCCCCAGTTAATCATTGATGCCCCCAGGCCTGTGGGCCCCAGAGTCGCCTTGCTGCAGGGGGCCAGAGTACTAGCTAATGGAATGCTAACCATGCCTTTGGTGCAGTTAATGATTTATCTCCTTCCATTACAGTGCTCTACTCCCTTTCTCTGAAGCTCACAGAAGGCTGTGTAATCATCTTCTGGAGGTTAGGCTGGCCATGCCTAATGGGGCAGAGGAGAAGATAATGGTCATTTGCAAACTCACTATAGGACCAGACTTTCAGTGGGCTTCCTTTTATAGGAAAGAGTATTTTCCTTAGTTGTTTTCCAAAAATATGCTTTAACAAAGTAATTGTTGTCTGATGTTCCTTTGTATGAACTTTTGCCAAGATAGCATCACAGGATGACATGATTTTATATGGGTACACAACATTTGTCACCATCAAAGATGCATAATGTTTATTTGTAGAGTGCTTTTATTTCCATTGCTAGATTTAAGTACCTTGAGGGCCTCAACAAATTAATGTTTGTGCTGTGCATTTATTATACATGCTAATATAAAAGAAACATGGGGCACCTGGGTGGCTCAGTTGGTTGGGCATCTGACTCAGTTTTGGCTCAGGTCATGATCTCATGGGTTGCGGGATGGAGCCCATATCAGGCTCCATGCTCAGCGCACAGTCTGTTTGAGATTCTCTCTTCCTCTACCCCGCCCCCGACTCTGCGTGTGCGCGCTCTCACTCTCTCTCTCAAATAAATCTTAAAAAAAGGAAAAAGAAAAACGTATTTTCATTTAAATTTTTTCTATTTCACAAAGCCCAGATATGTTATTTGCAGAAATACCAGAAAATAATTGTTCAGTAAAGAAAAAGAGGAGAAACCCAGAGATAAAGCACAGTTAACACTTCGTTTCATATTATATATAATAGATGTCAGAGCTTATCTGTCCAAGTGAATGTGGACCCCTCATCACGATCCACCTCAGAGTGGATATGAGTGTGCTGGTGACAAACGTTGTTGTCTGCTTCTGGGGGACATGACTTCAGAATCTCAGCGTTCCCTCACAGATACTCAATCTCTGTCATGAGGATGGCTTAAATTTTAATGGGAAAGGGATTTTTTTTCCAGAATTTATAAATACGATGGGCAATATTGATTTGAAGTTTTGATTTTTTTGTTTTCTGTTCTTTTTTTTTTTTTTTTTTTAACTGAGGCCAGACTACAAATTAGTGAGGATGGGGAGGCGGGCGGGCCTTGTGAGATTTATAAGGCAGCACTGACGGGGTGATTATGGAATAACCAAAGAGGGGATTGTTCACTCTGGGGGTTTTCCCTGTGTTTCCAGACTTCCTTCCCTAGGAAGACATCTGCATCCCGGCTACTGAGAAGTGGGTTTGAGGATGAGTAGGAGGTGGGATGCCTGGGAAAGGAAGTGAGCAGAGTCCAAAGATGACCCTTGAAATTGTTAGCACAGTTGTTTCTGCGTTGGTGTGCTTAGGGAACTCACTGTGTTTGGATGCCAAGTTTGGATGCTGTCTCCCCTGTGCTGATATAGCATCTTCTCTGAGCTTGCTGGGGTGTGAGGAGGTCATTGACAGCTTTCTTTGTAAAGTCAATTTGGGGTCATCCAGCAAATTTTGGTTTTGTTTCATTCATATCCATGGTCTCTTGTCTTGCAGTGGATACATGGGTAAAAGCTATTGCTACCACCATTTTATAATACAAACAACTACTTTCTCAGAAGACTTCTATGATGTATACTATGCATTTTCCAGTGCTAAAATCCCTTAATTCTGGGTCCTAGGCTGTGCATCAATGGGCCAGTCTGAACCCTGCTCCTCTGAAGATGAGTCCATTCTCATGGGCCTGTTGAGTTTCAGGGTTTAGAGGAAACTTCTTTCTCTGAAACCCAAGGTGATTTCTTTTCTTGGAATTTGTCTCTCTTAATTTTTGCCTCTTTGGGGAAATATCTTCTCTCCAAACAAGTTACTGTAAGGCTCACATGTGTCAGGTACTTAGAAAAGTGCTTAACACTTAGCACTCAACAGATGTTAGCTACTAACTAGTATTAGAAACAGCGCTCTAAAGCCGCCCTGCTCCATAAAAACATCAAGCAAAAGCCCACGTGTTGTTGTAACTTTTCTAGTACCTCATTAAAAAAGTAAAAGGAAACAGGTGAAATTAATTTTTTATAATATATTCCACTTAACCCAACATGTCAAAAATAAGATCTTTCAACATGTAATCAATATTTTTAAATCATCAAGATAATTTTACATTCTTTTTTTCATACTAAGTCTTCAACACCCAGTGTGTAATTTATACTAACAGTGCAGCTCAGGTAGGACTAGCCACATTTGGAGTGCTCCATCGCCGTGTGTAGCTGGCGCAACTACCATCCCAGGCAACTCAAGTCTAGAACCTTTTTTACTCAAGGTGAGTTCTGGAGACCAGAAGTATCCGCATCATCTGAGACCTTGTCTGAACTGAAGAATCTCAGGCCCCACCCCAGACCTAGAGAAGCAGAATCTGCATTTTAACAAGTGATTTATTAGCATACCTGAATGGGAAGCACTGGTCTAGAATGCCCACGCTCAGTCCTCACCCCATGGGATTCTGATTTAACTGGTCCAAGGTAGGCGCTGGGCCCTGGTATTTTTTTAAGCTTCCTCTGGTGATTCTAATATGCAACCAGGCTTGAGTCTCTTGTGTAGTGGGCCCTGGAGCCAGGATGCCTGGCTCTGCCACTTTCGACCTTTGAGATCTCAGGAAATCTACCACAAGACTCTCTGTGCCTCAGTTTCTTCATGTTGTGAAAGTCGTATCTGCTTCAAGGAATGTAATGAGTTAATACGTGTAAAGCACTCAGAACCACACCTGGCACATAGGAAGCACTCCTGAAATACAAGCTCTCACCTTTTCTTCTTTTCCTTAAAGGTCCGGGGTTACCCAGAGCCCCACGTGACGTGGCACCGAAATGGGCAACCCATCACCGGTGGGGGCCGCTTCCTGCTGGATTGTGGTATCCGGGGAGCTTTCAGCCTTGTGATTCATGCTGTCTGTGAGGAAGACAAGGGAAAGTATACCTGTGAAGCCACCAATGATAGTGGTGCCCGCCAGGTGACAGTGGAGTTGACGGTGGAAGGTGAGTTTCAGGAAGTGAGAGCTGTGGTGGAAGATGAGCTGTCAGTTTCCCCAAGGCCTGCAGCTCCTGCGTCTGCCCTCTCTTGGGCAGAAGAGAAACCCGCAAGAGAAAGCATGCCCATCCCTGAACTCAGGACCTTTCATCTAATGGAGGAAACGTGGTTCCTGCGAACAAGGGAGGCATCCCAGGAGACACTGTCCAACTCACATCACCTCACTTTCCTGCTCCAGCCTTCCCATGGCTTCCCCTCACACTGAGACTGAGACCCATCCCCCACTCCTGGCCAGGCCCCCTGCCCTTTCTTGAGCTAGCCTCGGGGCCTTCCCCTGCCATTCCCTGTCAAAGCAAGAGTTCCGTCCACAGCCCTCACCTCCTTCACATCTCTGCTCATGTGTCCCCTCCTTAGAGGACCCTTTCTGACCACCCCATCGCTGAGACTCTCTACCCTCTCACGCCCCCTGAATATTTTCTTCCAGCACTCATCGCTGCTTCCCATTTTTTAATTCTCTCCTCCACCCTCACCTTTGACTAGAAACGCTAGGAGGCAAGGGACTTGGTATCCCTTATGCTCTATCTCTAGCATCTAGAAAACTTCATGGCACAGGATAGATACTAAAATATTTGGAGAATGAACGAACAGTGTTTCTTATCATCATTATAAAGTGACACTCGCCTATTTATAAAAATTTTGTTAAACTCAGAAAAATATATAGGAGATAAATATACCATTTGACCATCAGTAAAACTGTTTCTTTTGCTGCTAGTGTATCCCCCACGTGCTGAAGCCCCTCCACTGGAGAGAACATTTCCAGTTCAGGCCACTGGCTGCCGCTTAAAGGCCTGATGTCCAAAAGGATGTGGGGGTTTGTCAGACCGTCAGAGGTGTGACAAGTTTCCCTCGACCCTTACAGGCCTTTCTAAGGGCTAATAAACCAGAAGTCCAGACTCACTTTCTCCCCTCTCAGGAGATAGTCTTCCGAACCTGGTTTTGGGGGCACTGTATATGAGGATTAAAGTAACCAGAGAAGGTTCTGGAGGGGGTGAAGTGCACCTGGGCCAATGTTTTCCCTGCTTCCCTACATCATGGAAAGACAGACAGGCTGTTTCACCGAACAGAATGTGCATAGTTTGGATGCTTTCCCCAAATTCTTTAACTGAGTGACTCATTCCTTTTAATGACCTTCAACTGCCTGTGGGCTGGAGCATTCCAGATAGAAAGTGGCCCCTGATCAGAGTCTCTGAATGGCCCTCATCTAGGACAATTCTGGTACTGTGCTTTCTTCTATAGTTTTCAATATCCAAACTTTGAGTTGAGGATCACAAATAAAAATTACTTTCCCCGCCTGTATTAGTCAACTCAAGCTGTCATAACAGAATAACTGCACACTACATGGCTTCAATAACAGACCCTTATATTCTCACAGTTCTGGAGGCTAGAAGTCTGAAGTCAGGGTCCAGCTGGGTCTGGTTTCTGGTGAGAGCTCTCTTCCTGGCTTGTAGATGGCCACCGTGTCTTCATATGGCAGAGAGAGAGCTCCAGTGTCTCTTCCTCTTTTTATAAGGGCAACAGCTCTACTAGAGTAGGGCCCTGCTGTTATGACCTCATTGAACCTTTATCACTTTCTCCCAGGCCCCGTCTCTGAAGACAGTCACACTGAAGGTTAGGGCTTCCGCATAGAAATTTGGGTGGGGACACAAAAATTCAGTCTATAATACCTCTTTTCTGGCTTTCTGTTCATTGCCAGAGAAATGGGGTATTATGAGTCAGAGTTCCAAGGTTCTGGGCCCAGCTTTTGCCAATCATATGTGTAACTTTAAACCTTTGGCCCTCTGTTTCTGCAAAGAAAGGGTTTTAATTCAGTGGTCTCTGTAGACGGCTAGCCTTTGTTTTCTGTGATCCATTTGAAAGGAATGGAATGGGTTAGGCATGCAGAGGAGGTATGTAAAACCCAGGTAATATGAAATCTTTTTTTCAATTCCCATTATTGAGGAAGTTAGAGCTGGTGACCTACTAAAATTTTTCCTGCTTTACTGAGATGTGGACAACAGGGAGGAAAGGAGTCGGGAGGGCTATAGAGGAATAAGGCGACACAAAGCCTCTCAACCCTGCGTCCTCTCCTTTGGTTTTAATTTGGGGAGACTCAGGCCCAGACCACTGAAGATGTTTTGTCTTCTAATCCTAGGACATAGAGAATGGCCTAAAGGCTGCAGCATCTTTAAATGTGAGTGGCCCTCTATACACTCTGCTTCTGCATCGAAGGCTGGTTTCCACTGGTGTGTGGCTTAGGACCGCCCCATAGACCATACCCCTGGAAGGAAGTGGGGATTCTCACAAAGGCATCTAGCAGCCACCTGCCTTCTCACCAGCTCTGTGCTATGCTTCTTACTTGGAAAGAGCAGAGGCCCTAGAATTAAGAGTGTAATTCATATGTGAAGATTTTGACCCCCTAGTGGTCAAGCTCAGAAGGCAGTGTTGGTACACGGTCTTGGATTTTAGCTCCACTAATTTCTCGCTATGGGGAACTTCACCTTTTGGAGCCTTATTTCCTTTTCTGTAAACTGGAACCCACAGCTGCCCCGCAGGGTGTGTAAGGATCAGCGCAGCAGTGGCAAATATAGGTACCCTGTAAATGTGGCCTTGTAATATTTGAGTCTGCTACTAACATCCTGAGAACGACGTCCAGAGAGAAATCTTTGCATGGAGAATAGAGGCATATGCTCCCTTGTCTGATTTCCTGTTTGGTAACCAGGGCCAGGAAACATGTAACATCCTCCATGAGCACAAGTGCCTTAACGATAGGACTATTCATCACCTTATGCAGTGGGATGCAGCCCTAGTGTGATCCCCGGAAGGCCAATCTGTGACCAACCCCGACACTCACCCACCTCCAGGGGGCTGGTCACAGAGACTTGGTACAGAGCAAAGAAGAGGCATGGCACCCGCCCTCTGGGAGCTTTCTTTCTAATAGAGGGGCCACAGGCCTGTCCTCCAGCACGACTGTCCACAGAAATATAATGTGAGCCATGCATATAATCTTAAATTTTCTAGTAGCCACATTTAAAAAAACAGGTAAATTTTCATAAAATATTTTACTTAACCCAGTATAACCAAGATACTATCATTTCAACATTTAATCAACATAAAATTATTAATGAGATATTTTACATTCTTCAGCCTTTGGGGTATATTTTGCACTTATAGCACATCTCGATGCAGACTTGTCCTATTTCAAGAGCTCAATGACCACATATGGCTAATGCCAATCGTGTTAGAGAGCACAGCTCTAGAAGCTCCCACTGGAATAGGGATAAACAAGGCTTACACAGAAAAAAAAGAAAACCCACATAAATGAAGAAGGTGGTGAGTAGTCCCGGTTAATCGCATCCAAGAGTGAATCTAGAACTTGGGGTGCAGTGAGGGGTGGGGCTGAAGTGACAGATGTGCCCCAGACTTGCTGGTCTGAGTCTGAGAAGGCCCTTTGCGTTCCGGGGACCAGGGAGTCACTTAAATCATTTCAAGTAATAGAGGGTTAATTTTAAGACTTGAGCTCAGGAGCCCAGGGTAAACCAAACTGGCAGGCCCAGAGGCGATCCAGGCCTCAGGATGGCTCATACTCACCTTACAGGATTGTTGAGTGCAAACGCAGGGATCGACGGATCCCCCTGGGAATCTTGTTAAAAATGCAGATTCTGATTCCACTGGTCTGGAGTGGGGCCTGAGTGTCTGCAGTTCTAACCAGTACCAGATGATGCCCATGCTGCTGGTCCCTGCATCACACTTTGAATAGCAAGGAATGATTAAATTACCGATGTGATATATTTAGCCTGATAGAGTGATTCTCAAATGTAAGCATGTATCAGAATCACCTGAAGGGCTTCTGAAACCACACACTGCTAGGCCTTGCCCCAGAGTTTCTGATTTATTAGGTTGGGATGCGCTCAAGAATTTTCATTTCTAACAAGTCTCTTGGTGATGTGGATACTGCTGCATACGGGGACCAATGCTTTGAGAACCAGTGGGCTAGTGCTTATACCGACTATTAGGGCACCCCAGGAAAGAGAATAGATCATACATATATATGTAGAAAGAAATTCATTACAAGAAATTGGCTCACATGATTATGGAGTCTGACAAGTCCCAAGATCTGTCGTCTGGAAGCTGGAGACCCAGGGGAGTCCATGGTGTAGTTCCAATCCAATTTCGGACCTGGCCTAAGAAGAGCTGATGTTTCAGTATAAGTCAACAGCAGAGGAAAAATCCTTGTCCCTGCTCAGAGGCAGTCAGGCAGGAGGAATTCCTCCTTATTTGGGGGAGGGTCAGCCTTTTCATTCTCTTCCGGTCTTCAACTGATTGGATGAGGCCCACCAACATTAGAGATGTCTATCTGTTTTACTCAGTCTACTGATTTCAGTGTTAATCTCATCCAAAAACACCCTCATACAGGGGCTCTTGGGTGGCTCAGGTGGTTAAGTATCTGACTCTTGGTTTCGGCTTGGGTCATGGTTTCAGGGTTGTGGGATCAAGCCCCAGGTCAGGCTCTACACTCAGCATGGAGTCAGTTTGTCCCTCTCCCTCCCCCTCTGCCCCAACTACTTACACAGGCACTCTCTCTCTCTCTCTCAAATAAATAAAACCTTAAAAAAAAAAAAAAACCCTCATACAAACATCCAGAATAGCATTTGACCAAACATCTAGGCACCCCATGGCTCAGTTAAATTGACACATAAGAGTAACCATCACTAAATACTTTATAAGAATATTCCTGAATTATTACTCAATACTTTATTAGAATATTCCTGAATTATTTCATGGGATCTGACACATTTCTCCTTCTTGAGCTATCCATTAGGAATATCAGCTAGGTAACACAGAGCTGCTGTAAAAGTTAGCAGTGGTATGTGATATGGGCTGGAAAGGCAAAATGGGAACGTGTGCACACAGGTTGCGAGAAAGCAGCCACAAAGCGGGAAAAGATGCTCAGAGACCACGTATGATATAA